CCGCATACCATGTAACAAAATAGCAGTTCAAGACTGTTAATCTTTGCTGGTTTATGGATGAGTTATGCTTTATCAATCGTATGGTGATCTAACAGCTTCTTTTCAATGGAAGGTATGGAACACTCTGTATCCGCGAAAACCCTGGGTGTCTTTTCATTGCTACAAACCGAGATGCTGTCACGCACCTTACCGATGCTCAAGAATGGGCAGGTTGGCTTCTTGTTTGCATTGTTTTTACTATTTTCATGGATCATAATCTTTTCTTATTAAAGAAAAGGATTTTAATTTCAATTCTAGCACATTATCCTAATGTGGTACTAAGGTGAATTTGGCGACGGACCACTATAGTTACAAAAATTCTTTCTTTTTCTATGGTTATCATTTTTTTCATCCTTGAACGACCAATACGCGATTATTCGGTTTCAGGCGGTGGTTCTATGGTTGGTGCTCTTGTTGGATCAACTCAACGTGAGCCTCTTGTTGTTGGAAAACCTTCAACGTTTATGATGGACTATTTAGCAGACAAGTAAGGCTTCTAGATTCTCATATTCAATCTTTCTTCTGCTTTTTCATTTCTGTATTTGCTTAATTAAAGCAATTTACATTTCTGTTTCCCTAGTCGTGTCTATAATGGGTATGCTACAAGTGCATGAATCAAAGAAAAAAATGTGTGTGTATTTCCATCATTAACTTTCTAAGGTGTGAGTATGATCCATAACATTGTGTATTGCCAATTTTTTAAAAATGTGCAGATTTGGAATCCAAAAGTCACAGATATGCATGGTTGGTGATAGATTGGACACTGACATTTTGTTCGGGCAGAATGGCGGTTGTAAAACTCTGCTTGTCCTATCTGGTACAACGTATCCATAAACAGTTCCTTCTTTATCTGCACAATCTTGGGTTTAACAGTCTAAGTCAGTAAAATTTTATTCATTTTGTCTTTGTGGACTTGAAGGTGTTACTTCAATCTCAATGTTGGAAAGCCCTGAGAACAAGATACAACCAGATTTCTACACGAGCAAGATTTCCGATTTTCTGTCTCCCAAAGCAGCGACTGTATAATCAAAGTAAGCGCCGCGTCAATCACGGGTTTACAAATACATAATTTTTCTTTGTGTCTTTTGTAGAAGTTGTTTTACCTTGCTTGTTATGGCAAGCAAGCTTCTTATATTTGCAGTGCCTTCGTTTGCATAGCTAATTAGCAAAAGCCAACGAGTATTGTTTCGAAAGAGTTTACACAATTGTATTTTAAAATGATGAACCAAGGCTCTCTGATTTGTAAGATTATAGACTCTTCATCGACTTTAAATCTCATTCATATGTGGTTATGTACAGGTTTTAAAATGATTAATAGCAGTACAGCTATATTTGTGAACATGTTTAACGTTATGTAGTGCTTTTTAAAAAAAATTGGTTTTGGACAAATGAAATCCAAAAGCACACAGAACTAACTAACTGTTATCATCATTAGTTTTTCATTTTCAAAATAATACTCCCTCTGTTTCAAAATATAAGTTGTTTAAGCAAAAAACACGGATATTAAGAAATTACTTTTTAACTAAAAAATATTATTTAATATATCTAATAAAAATGATTTGACCAATCACACAAAAGACTGCAAAATACTAATGGTCACACAATATTCAATAAAGTTAAAAGTACRTAGTATTGT